CCTCGAACCGAATGCCGCAGCCCCTTCGGATGTACCATTTTCGGAACCACTTCCGGGCCTCGCACTCGAAGACCGGAAAACGCCCTCAACCCGCCAGACAAACCGAGCTCGTCAAAGTCCACAGCGCTAACCGGTAAATCCATGCCACCAGCGGCACTGAAAAACTTGAAGGGAAGTGTTGGGAATGCGCCCATTCCCACGATTACTCATATACAGAAGGGCCTGCTAGTGCAAATCATACCGCTGTCACGAGAGCGCGCCGTGATTATCGATTTTTCCTTGTAGCGGATAGGCTCATTGTCTCAGCTATGTCTCTCGAATTCCTCCTAAATTGCACTCAGCCGAGCTGTGTGAATGACTTGCGCTGACTTGGAGTGACGTGCAGTAAAGTGCATTGTCTGAGTAGACACTCTCGCTCAGGCCGACTGGTCTTTTCTGTGTCTCTCTTACGGGCTCTCGGGAACATTTCGTGGTAATTAGAAGTATCAGTTGCTGGTCGTAACTCTACAGCGGTAGAAAGACGGTAGAAATAGATAAACAGTAATGCAAATGGCAACGATACGACTCATAGGATCCGAATGTCTTTCTTCTGCAATAGCCAGAAAGTTGACTTGCAAGGAAGAAGTATTTACCAAGGTTGGAGGCCAAGTTCCACCGTTCAAACCCGCGAGGATCGTGAATAGCTTGTGTTTCAGTCAATGACTGTTGATTCTGAGTCCGAGGTTGATCATCAAATAAGTGCCGTTAGCCGGGCGAGAAAAATTAAGTGCAGGAAATGCAAGAAATGGAATATGAATGCAGAAACACGCACGATTGTGCTGCCGAAAGGAGCGTATGTATTTCTCAAAGTGCACACTCGAAACACATAGCACATGTAAACAAGACCGTAGGACAGTTACAGACCTAAAAAGGAAAAGTACAAGGACCTACACAATGCGGCTGCTTGCCATGCGTTTTAAGATGCCCATTGATGCCTTAATATGTCTAAGGTATCGGAATATGTATAAAAAGAGTTACTGATTAAATCGTAAAATGGTTTAAAAATGCAAATTTGTTTCCTTATTTCTAGATACTTTAGTCTACGATGTTTAAATACGCTGGCCTGGACCTTGATTGGACCGTGCGTGAAGGCGCGTCAGACAGACCTGCTAAACATCATTTTTGTTGTTTTGTTTCCGCAAGATGAAGGCTCTGTTTGGTAAAAAGAAAACGCCACAAGAACAGTTGAGAGAGAATCAACGGGCTTTAAATAGAGTTATAAGGGAGTTGGATCGCGAAAAACAGCGTCTGGACAACGAGCAAACCAAGATTATTAACGAGATTAAGAAGCTCGCAAAACAAGGTCAAACCGATGCCGTAAAAATTATGGCGAAAAACCTCGTGAGAACTCGAACATATACAAAAAAGATATTGATGACACGTGCTAATATACAAGTACAATTTTTTATTTTTTATCAAAGTTTAGGCTGTTTCCCTAAATATGCAAACTCTGAAATCTACCGCGGCCATGGCTGATGCCATGAAACAAACAACCAAAACATTAGTGAGAATGAATAAGCAAATGAACCTACCAGAACTCCAAAAGATATTGATGGAGTTCGAGAAACAGTCTGGAATGATGGAAATGAAGGAGGAGATGATTTCTGATGCGATGGATGATGTATTTGGAGAGGAAGGTGATGCGGAAGCTTCTGACGCGGTTGTCCAACAGGTAACTTTCTTTGATTTTCCGGTCATTAATGCCCTATCGATGACTTATTTTTACGGGCGTCTTCATATTCTGTCCATCGCCATTAGCCCTGTCAGCACCAGCCCCGCCTGGTCCCATCTAAATAGCCGGGCCAGGCGGGGCAATCCGGGGACAAATAGA